CCCAGAACCTGAGCGGCCCAGTGATTTTTTTTTTTAAGGTTTTTCTCTCTCTAAAATAGCCTCTAATGGGTTTTAGGTTCATTTGAAACCTAAAACCCACAATTTTGCACCTTTAGTATTAAAAAAAGGACCCAAAATGACCCAAAAATAGCCTCAATGAGTGGCATTTCTGCCCCTGTGCGGCCGCCTAGGCGGGCGCCCGAGGATACCCGCCTAATTTGGTCGTGTAGTCGCCCAGGCCTTCTGGACCGCCTCGGCGGCTGCCCAGGCCTTTTGGACCGCCTCGGTGGCTGCCCAGGCGTTGGGCGGTCCGCTTTTTGAAACACTGGTCTGCTCTGATGATGGCTTTACTAGGAAAGGGTCAATTCAACCTTGGGTAGGTTCTGTGTGTTGGGTATGTTGCGTGGGTTGAAGAGGTGGTCTAGCCTACCATTCTCCATCGTGCTCGTAGACTTGAATATACCTTGTGGACAAGCCCTGATATCATCATTAAATGGGCCTATAGCTAGTAGGCCTTGACAACCTTCTGCATCCAAACCTTCCCACATAGCTTATGCTAGTCCCTGAGGATGTCTTGCCTCCAAACCTCCCAATATGGTTCTGCTAGTCCCAGTGTTACATGGTCACTGGTACTATTATCGATGTCCAAAATGTGTCTGCAATGCCTACTTCTTTGGCCTAAAAAGCAATTCGGCTGGACATGTCTATATATTTTATTTTGTAATAAAATATTATGTTTATAGAGTATTTTCCCTTATTTGGTTTTTATATGAAAGCTTGGCAAAGTGATAAGAGGGGAGGGTTTTTATGTAAACTATCCCATGTTCAAGCGGAGGAGCGTTGTTTTATTTAGTATTAATTCATAGAAGTAACATTGATTGGTGTATATATTCTTAAAATTTTCCTTACGAGTTCGAGTTGGACCTCAAGCTCCTCATCATCTTCCCCCTTTTGCTTGGGCGCAAAGTTGAAATTACTAAAAGTAAACATTGTAAGATCAATAACCAGTCCTAGAGTGACCAATAATTGATTCCCCAATGTATTTTTCCCGGGATCAACTTGATTTGATGTTAACCAATGTTTCTTTCGACTTGAAATGTAGATCTCAAATACTCGGATTTTTGTGAAATTGGTGAGTTTTTATTTGCAAACCTTGTTCAAGAAAATTATAGAGGGCTCTGAAACAGCCGAGGGCTAAGAACATATGTTTGGATGTTGCGAGTCTCGCTGACCTCTGCTAGGACTCGGGGACTTGCCCAATTCCTATTCGAACCAGGAATTGGCCTAGTCCCTATAGGGACCCAGCTGGTTCTATTTAATTGGCTCGGATTCCCCCATTTGGGACCCTCCTGACCAGCACCCTGCCAGCTCCGAGTGACTCAAATGTGTCCGAGCCTGAACACTGAGTTTTGATACACTGCTGCACGGTTTAAACAAGTTTAGGCTGTTATGGTAATAAGAAATTCCATCTTTTCACTGAGTACACATGTAAACTGAAGTTAGCACCTAAATACTTGCAAACTAGCTTTCCTTGGACTTGAACAAAATCAATAGGCTGAAAGTCTCATAGGGTCTCTATTGCTGAGAAAAGTTCCATCCATTCTCTGTTGATGTAGAAGTCCCTGAGTCACATCTGTTTGTGTCCCATGTTGCACTATTACAACAGACTTTACTATGTGTGAGAACTCGTTGGTTTAAACATGACAAGCCAATTTTCAAGTTGTAACCATCTTAGGGCTTGCCCAAAAGTCATTGTTGTGGACGCCAAGGAATATGGTGCATGCTCCCAGGCACATGCTAGGCCATATTATGAATCGATTTGACTTTCTAAGTATGTCGTTTTCTCTTACAAAATCTCAAAATATGCAATTCTCTTCCTCATTTTGCAGTCCCATTCTCCTTCCTTCCTCATGTTATATTCACCACATTAGAGAAATTGATGATGTTTTTGTTCCATCCTTGAGTTGGGCAGCTATGGTCTTGTATCACTTTTTGCTGAATCTTTTCTTCCCCTCTTGGGGTTGGTCCTGTCGGATTTCACTTTTCTATGGCACACGTTTCTGGCTCCTTGAACCTTACTTGTTTATAGTTTTCTTGGCCTTTTGACAAAATTGTTGAAGATTTGTATGGAATGATGTTTTTTCACATTATCTTCTATAGAGCATGAGTATGGTGTAGTAACATTTGTGGCTGGTGACTCTTGTAAGAACCCTTTTTAGTCACATCATTTTGGCTTGCATTCGGTTGTAACAAAGGTTTCAGGACCAATATGTATCTTGATCTGGGTTTTTTTTTTTTTATTTGTTTTCTGATGGAGTTGAAATAGAGTCATATTATTGTCCTGAACAGTAGTTGTTAGGAGTGGGCACAATAAGTATGTTGAAAACTTAAAGAAAACTTTAAAAATAACTTAAATGTAATTTTATTGAATATTTATTAGGGAATTGTGAAGCACAAATAAACAAGTACTTTTTTTTCTCTTTTTTTTTTTGGGTTTTGTGTGTGTGGTTTTTTTTGGGGGGAGTGCACCAGGAGATGGGGATGTGCAACAGTTAGAGGTGCTCGACCATAAACTTGATGAGGGAAAATTTGGGGCTTCCATTGCCAAAACATGAAACATATATCATTTGAATCATACTAAACTACACACATGATATGTATGAAAATGGGGGCATCCACCATTAAATCAGAAAGTATATCATACACTTCATCATACATCACAACAAGGTGAGGGAGGAATGAGTTCAGGGCCTTGTTGCCTGACATATGTATGGTCAAACTGCTCTGTAAATAGTAATAATATCTAGAAGAAAAGTGTTAATTGTTTCAGCCATGCAAGTCTCTAATGGATATTAAACAATAAAATTGCCTTTCTCAATTCAGAGGTGCCCTGTGGAAGCTAAAGCAGAAAATCACTATCCTTTTTGTACTTGAACCTGTCATCATTTCGTCCAGATATTTTTGCTTGGGAAAGAAGGTAAGAAGGTCTATGTATTTGATTATATAGGTATATCAATAGAACTGGTCTAAGAAGGGTGAGGACCTTAAACTTTCCCTTAACCTATCCTAAGCCCGGGTAAAGGAGGTGGGTTGTGTTTGGTAGGCACCCAATGTAAAATTTTGTCAAAACTTTTCAGGATCCTAAATCGACGATATCTGCTTATGCTAAGGCGTTTCCTGTAAGCAACGTGCTATACCAGGGGCCTCATTGAGGCTATGGCACTTGACAAACCAGGATTTGTGTAGCCGACCCAAATAGTTAGGAAAAGGCTTTGATTGTAATGAGGTATATCAATAGAATATTTTGATATTTCCATGGTTATCAACAATCTTCCTAATCTAATTTAGATGTTCTTGGATAACAGCGAGAAGTGAGTTCCATTTTAGCTATATAAATTCTTTGCCCTTTCAAGGTTATAACTCTATTGCGAGCAAGAAGATATTTCTTGGATAAAGGGTATAACAGGTAATTCATGATACGATAACATGATTGAATCTTTAGGCATGCAAACATATAGGACTCTCCAAGGTTTTATAATTTTGGACAATCCAACCTATTAGTTGTGCGTCAGATGTCATGAATACCACAGATTCGATCTTGCATATTTATGGACTGGCGATTTCACTAATTCGAATTTTTCCCAAAGTGAATAATAGAGGAACAATCTGTTCACAGTGTTCTTGTTTCTGATGATTTGATTTACACTAGCAGTAATCAAAACAAACAAAGAAGTTAAGTGAACTGTGATTCATGGTTACAAAAATGACAGATTTCAAACTCATGAAACAATTTGTTCAAATAGAAGGAGGCAAAACAATTTTTTTTTAATTTGTCAAGGAAACCATATTAATAAATCTAAGAAAACTTATGATGGAAACTCATAGGTATACTTTCATTTGTGACTCCACAAATGCTCTTTATTGGCAATAGGTCAAATGGTAATCACATCTCCTTTTCGTAAGTCAAACTGTCAAAATGACCTACTCAGATTTGTCTTGAGGAATCCCATGGCCTATGCTGTTTTATAGGCCGTGTGCTCATAAGATCTTTTCGGATATATCTGCATCTTTGTGTAAGGTTTGTCTATAGGCTTTGTGCTTTGAAGGGTTGTTAAGGTCATATTATGCCATGGGTCTGTCTATAGTTAGCAACCCCTTAAAATATAAAGTTTAATATTATAATGGGTTATGATGGTTGTATTTAATAAAATATTGTTTTTTTCTTTGGTGAAAATTTTATTCGCTATAGGTAGTTTAATTGTTGAATAGGAATTTTCACAAAAGAACAATTTCATTTTGAAATCAAGTGTAAACTTTAATACAGTTACTATTGTTCTTTAGTGAAAATACCAACTATATCCTTATCAAGATGACAAAGTACTCGTTGTCTTTTAGTGATAATTACACATGCGCCCTTACTTGATGACCAAGCTACAAATAGAAAAAGGTTTTTAGTAAACATCACCACAAATTTATTAAACTTACCCTTCAGAACCTATTTTAATCTTACCCTTTTGTATTTTTAAGGGTTGGTGTGTGTGTGTGTTGACCATTAAGGTTCTAGAACATTATAACCATGTAATTAACATCAAGGGTTTGCATTTAGTTGAAGATAATGATATGAAATAGAAATCTGAAAGCTAGAGTGGAAATTGGCCTTCCCCAAAATGTTATGCATTAAAGGATGGTATTTCAATGCCCATAAAGTAGGGTTTGATAATCTGGCTGACTTGAAAACCTTATCTGTTCATCATCTGTTCTTAGCTGAGAAACTCTCACTCATGTCAATTAGGAGGGGGTGTATGCTGGAGGGTGGTATTATAAAGTATATGTTCCATTAGGAGCTGTGTCCATTTTCTATTTTTTCTTCTTAATATCTTTTTCTTTGGTTCTCTACAATTGTGACTACCTTTGTACATGCCAATTCAGGGGTTTCAAATAACGATTGTGTTCAAAAGTTATGTTAGTTTCTTATTTCTATTTGTTTATGTCAACCTCAGGGGTCTCAAATTGCTATGTATTCAAGAGTCGATTGCAAGAATATGCACAGAAAGCCGGCATTCCTACTCCTGTATATGAAACTGTGAAGGAAGGACCTTCTCACGAACCAATCTTCAGGTCTAGTGTAACTATAAATGATGTTAAGTATGATTCTTTACCTGGGTTTGCAAATCGAAAGGCCGCAGAGCAGTCAGCGGCTGAGGTTGCTCTCATGGAGTTGCTTAAATCAGGCACTATGGATTGCATTCCTCATCCAGTTGTAAGTTCATCTAACCTTCTAATGGTATACTAAAATACTAGCTAGTTCTTGAAAGTACCATTTTTGTGTGCGAAGATTATCAAAAGATATTGTCCTTAATATTGCAGAACTTTTTACCTTTTGTTTGAAATATATCCTAGGTATATTTTGAGAAATAGATTTAACTTAGATGTAAAACTTTTGAGAAATTAAAGTGATAAAAGGTGTACAAATATTAAGCCTACAGAAACTAAAACTAGAAGGGAGAAAGTTTCTTTCTTTTTTAAATGTTCATTTTAATGTTTATATTTTTGAATTTTTCATTTTTATTGACTTCTTTCTTTCTCGAATGTTTTCAATAGATTTTGTACGTTCCCAAGAATTTCCCCATTGAAAACTAAAATTTTAGAAGGGTCGTGAGAAAAAATTTCACCTATATATTCTTAAGCACATGCAACCTAATGAATACTGTGGAGAAACTAGCACGGCTGTTCTACAAAAATTGCTTATCAATATTTGCTTAGTTGTAGGGAAGACCAAGGAAATCTAGAAAAATTGCCAAAAGAGCCATCTCATGGAATTTATCAAATTGCCCATAAACTTTCTGAAAATCCTTGACATACTTGTGGATATGCTTATGTTCTATTGTTTAGTTTTTATCTCCTTGTGCTTTTTTTTCATATTGTGTAAGTGTGTGTGTGCGTGTGTGTGTGTGTATGGGGAATGATCTCATGTCACCATGTCATTGTAATATAATGAAACCACACTTCTAGAAATCCAAGTTTGTGGCATTTGTATGACCCCAAATTTTGCACACACACTCTCTTCATCCCAATAATCAATTCCTAAAAAAATTTCAATTTGTGCCTAGGTATAGCCAAAATCAGTCTCCTCCAACAATGAATCTAGATCATCTAATTGGTGAATTTTAAGACTAGGCCTCTATGAATTTAAAATCAATTTTTTCTTTTTCAAGCTTGTTAATCTAATTAAAGCTATTTAAAAATTTTGGAAAGGAAAAGATCTTCTAAGGCCTAAATTTAAGCATCTCACTAAAATAGACTATCTATGTTAATTGGGCTAAAAAACACTTTCTAGGTTATGTTTTCAAATTTTGCTTTTTTAATTGTTCATTACAATGAAATGAGTGTATACGTGGAAATTGGGGTCAAACTAATGGGCCTAACATGGTTTTTGAAGGTTGATTCGTTATATTACTACAAAATTGTTGCATGAAATTACTCCCTATGTGTGTGTGTGGAAAACATAAAAAAGCACTTATGAGTGAAGTTTTATAGTATTTCACTCATGGCTCATCTCTGTCTATAGTCTATCAAAAACACTCATGAGTGAAGTTTTACGGTATTTCATTCATAGTTCATCACCGTCCATAGTCCATCAAATGATCACGATTGCTTAATTTTAATTATTATTTTTAATTAATTAAAAAAATTAATTATTTTAATTTTAAGTATTAGAATTTTAATTATTTTTTTACAAAACTGATTGACCTCAAATGTTGTGGGTGTGCGTACCTTATCGAGGCACATTTAAATAAAATGTAAAAGGTAATTCAAATAATAAGACTGACCAAATTACCCCTATTAATATTTCAGGGGTATTATCATCATTTTATTTATTTTTATAATTATTTGTAAATATTTTTTTAGGTGCGAGTTGGTTAGAGGTACACACCCAAAATTTCAGATGAATATGATTTATAGAAAAATTATTAAAATTCAAATACTATCAAACAACCATTACCCTATGATGGACTTTAGATGGTGATGAGCCATGAGTGAAATACAGTAGAAATTCACTCATTAGTGTTTCTAAGTGTTTTCCTATATATATATATATATATATATATATATATATATGATCATGTCAGCCCGTGGGCTGACTGCTATAGTGTCAGCCAATAGCCCAGATTGAATTTGGGCCGATCTAATGGTTACGACCTCATTTC